TGATTTAAACGGTGGGCTCGGTTTAAAAACAATCGAAAGATGCTATCAAATGATCCGATAGTCAGGCACTATCACATTATCGAAACCACCAGGTGGTCCTCGTTTGACTCGAACAAAGGAGAACATTCAAAAGGTAAAGAACCGATTACGCCGAAAAAAAGACGTTAGCTCAAAAAATATCGATGGAGCCTGACATATCCGAAAGACGTGTTCAGCGAATAATGAAAAACGATTAAGGGTTATATCCCTATAAAAACAGTAATCGAACCATTGCTTTCCGATGATCAAAAGCTCAAACGGAAACAATTTGGAAATTGGGTTCGAACAAATTTCCGAAAAGAAGACACTTTGAAAATCCTCTTCTCGGATGAAAAGATGTTCGACATTGATGGTGTTTATAATACCCAAAATGATCGAGTGTGGGCAGTAGATTGTGCTGATGCCGATAAAAATGGTGCCATTCAGTAGAGACAAAAATTCCCACAAAAAGTAATGTTTTGGCTCGGTGCCTGTTCCAAGGATCTCACACCATTGGTAATCTTGGATGAAGGAACAGTCGATCACACTGTTTATGCCGAAAAATTGCTTCCTGTTGCTTTGAAATATGGGAATCAATTTTTCGGTAGCGACTGGGTCTTTCAACAAGATGGTGCCAAGCCTCAGTCGCATCATTTATCACAAAATTGGTGTCGAGACAATTTTCCAACATTTATTGAGAAAGACAGATGACCACCAAATAGTCCAGATTTAAACCCACTGGACTATTAAGTTTGGGATCAGCTGGTCCACAACATCAATTGGAACAAAGTCTACTAGAAAAAAACACTGATTCAAGAATTAAAATCGTCGGTTGAAAACGTTTCTAAATCTGTTGTTTCTGAAAGTTGTGCGTGTTGGATTAATCGATTGTATCGTCTTTGCCAAAATGATGGAAATCATTTGCGTTAATAAAAATAGTATCATTTTGTAGAACTTTGAAAGACAACTCTTTTGAAAAAAGGGAGCCTAATCGGACTAAGATTAAGGGAGATATCGGTAAAAAACTGAGACCGTCATTTATTCTGCTGCACCCGTTACGAACTACTTTTCCCCTAAGTACTAAGGGTATAACAGTTCTCAGATCTAAATTCAGATCAAATGAGCGAAAGAACTGTTCGAACAGATCAGATCAGCTCTAAGAACTGTTAGGATCTACAATGGGATGATGTCTATATCGATATTGGCGTCTCTCATGCGACTTGATCTGAGCTGTCACACCCCTACTAACGTAAGTGCAAGTATTTATACTTCTGCTTTTACTTGAAAAATTACGAAAAGTAGCACTGCAAGTACTTTCGTCCGAGCTCTGGTTGGTGATGGTGTGGAGTGTGACTGTGATGTGTGGATTTCGGAAGTGAACTCAACACTCCACAACCGAACACACACCCTCAGGCCATTTGTGTTGCAAATGTTTTCAGCCCGCACTCTTCAACCACCATGCACTGACAAATTGAATGATATCCAAAATTTATTCCCACAGCAAGTAGCGCAGGCTCAATAGAATCCGAGCGATTCATAACGCTGTTGAATCAAATCTCACTAGCATACTTTTGCTGATTCATTACAGCTCCGCTGCTGTAATGAAAATAAATCTTCGTTAGGTAATTGAGATCTTTGAACGACGACTTTTATTATATATTTCTCAGATGCCAATCGAAGATCTATTCGATGCATGTACGTTAATGATGGGTTTAGGGCTAACCTTTTTGCTGGACCATAGCCCACCCATGAGATACCAAGTAAAGAAACCACATTTTTCGAGAGTTCTCCGGGTACTATCATTTGTGTGATAGTTGCAAATGCAAAGTCGTGATACACTTTATGTCTGGTGAATACGGTTGTCAATAGGAGCCAATCATCAACGAAACGATGTGGTAAATAGAAAATATCTGAATATGAGATGGAAAGTTTTTTGTTACTATGATTTTGGTATGTATACATGTATCGTGCATATAATGTGTTGTTTTTTGAGTTTGCTTTCAACTCAGAGAAAGTTTTATTGAGCGCATTCTTGCCAACACTTTGTATCCACCATGAGCTATTAGCATTCTCAGGTTTCACGTGAGTTATGGTCGGTATCCAGATGGCTTGCAAATTATTTATTTCTAAATTATAAAAGATTGGCAAAAGGTCGAAGTGACAAAATAAATAACCATTGTGATTCGGATATAGAAGTATGGCTCGTGAGAGGCATTGATGCGATTGTTGGCCCCAACTACCCTCCGGACAGTGTATCACGTCTGGATGAGATTTTGGCCCAGTGAATACAACTAGTGGAAATATATCGCGATATGTAGCTAAAAGTAGAAGGTATTCATAGAGAGGACTGTTGAAATGCACTACTAAAACTATGTCATTGTGCTCCCAATCTGGCCTGTTCATATATTTCATTACATTGGACGGGGTGGTTTTCAACAGAAATCGACCCTCGTAAAATGCGTTCTCATCTGCCTATATAGTGTCAAGCCACCCATGTAATCTCGAAACGCATTTTAGACGCACACACTAAGTTTAAATGTGTCGCATGTGTCGTGATTTGCTACACAATATACGACACATTCGAGTGCGACATCAGGTGCTCGTTGTGACATATTATCTCCAGCGATGGCACAGCACATTTTGTACGACACATGCGACACATTCTGAAAACGTTTTCTTGAACCCACTAGTCAGAAATTCATTTTTGTCAAAAATATCATGATAATTTTTTCGATTTTGCTCTATTTGAACAGTTTCATTTCTGACAACTCAAACAGGGCAAATCTTGAGATCTGTACAGTCTCAAGTCGGTCCGGTTTTTACTAGATCATTTTCTGGTAGTTCCATTTCGATCAATGACCAAGATAGGCATTCTCTCGACTAATTATGAATCAAGAAATAATCTAAAACAGAAAAATATTTAAATGAAAATACATAACTTTCGTATGTTCAATCGAGTTCCCTATATAGGATCTTTTACGCTAAAGAAAAGGGTGAATCGATAGTCGACACACAAAACGAGGCGAATTTTTTAGCGACACTTTCTGTTGCGACATATTTTCGACACTGAACTTACGACACTATTACTCGCAACACATATATGCGACACATTTTTATTTCAAGTGCAGCTAGATGCGTTTATTTTGCAAATTCTGGCGTCCTGATGCGTTTCGGTATCGAGTTATGATAAAAACGCAGATAAAGGCGTTTGTAAGTATCTTGTTGTTACGCGCTAAAAGAACTTCGACGAGT